GTGGCCCCAGGTCACTGTGGGCACACAGGGAGCCAGGCTGACTGTGAAAGGCTGACTGGGGGCAGATGCAGCCTGGAAGTGCAGGGCTTGTCTCGGAAGGTTGCAGTTTATTGCAGCCCTGAGACACGTGAAAAGTCTCTGTTTCGGCCCACGTGTTCAAAGAGTGAGTCGGAGTTCTTCAGTTCTCGGTCTCAAGCTTGTTTATTGTTTCTTATCTATAAAAATTTTTCTCCTGCCCTGCTGAGATCCATCCAGCTGGACAGTTCCAGGCACTCTGCCTGTCCCCGGGGTGGTGTTATGTCTTTACACTAAAAACTATGTGTACATTATTTACCATAACTCCCAAATACCCATCACCTATGTTAGATAGTGATCTTCTACTCTAATCCAAAAGTGCCAACATCACAGCAGAAGAGGGAGGTAGAGAAGAAGAAAGGCTAGACATGCCCAAGTCCCTCCATCTTGTCCCCAAAACCCCTATTCTAAAAAATCTACTTTTTCACCTAGTGATAATTTTATTATTGCACTACTCAAACTTCTGTGGCTTTTGGGTCTTCATACAAAGCTGGTCATTCACTCCATGGGTCATAATCAAACCCACAGGTGTCCTGGGCTGTGTGCCAGGGTCTCTGAGCCCCCTGGCAGGGGTTCTGGCAACTCTGGACACTGAGTGGGATGTCCTGAGTTCCAACAGGCTTGCAGGGGAGGGCACCCTGCAGTCCCATCTCCTGGAGCAGCCCACACATGGACCAAACCTGCACCCACCCTCACCACATGACGTGACTGGCAGCCCAAAAATAGCCCAGCTGGGAGCAGACCTTTGGCTTTTACGCCCCCTTGAACCAGCAGGACAGGAGCTAATGGGTCATGAAGTGACAGTGACAATACTTTACTAAACATTATTTCACTGAGCTTTCCAGCACTCACAGTGTACCTCATTGTTCCCCACATGCAGCTCTGCTGGTTGCACCACAGAAGGCTTCACCAAGCCAGTTTCTGATGCCTTCTCTTCTTCTGCTCCCTGCTTCAAGTGCTCAAGAAGTGTCAGTTCACACACACCCAGATTGTTACACAACAGCCGTGTTGTTTCAAAAGCAATCAAAACAGTGAAATCCATTTGATGAGATTATAGGTGGACATTGGGAGATTAGATGATCTTTGCTGAGCAGCAGAAATAGGTCTGTGTCAAACTGAAATCCCCAGAGTGTTATTGTAACCTTCTCTGCAATATTTGCTTTGTGATTTTAATTCCAGATCAGAGTGTAAAACTCCAGTAAAGGCATAAAGCAACTTGAACCTGATAACTGCATTTTATTGTCAGAATTAAAGTGGTGGAACACAGGCCAAGAGAAAGGCCAGATAGACTGAGACAACAAAAAGAATAATTTCTTAGAAAAGATCTCTCTGGGGGAAAGGGACGTGTTTTCTCATCCTGAATCCTAATTCAAGGCAGAGGGAGGGGGTTTTTGAAGGCAAGCTGACATGAGAAGTTCACCCCAGGCAGAAGAACCTCCACATGGATCTAGAAGGGCACCAGGCAAAGTCACGCTTCAGAAGAGCAGCAATATCCAACTTCAGCAGGCACTCAGGATTTGTTCCTTCAGCCCTCCTAACTCTACAGACACTCTGTTTCAAGCCTGGGCTCTTTCCTCTCTGACAGAAGAACAGATGCTCAGTCCTCTCTCAGTCACAGGGGAAAATATCCTGGGGACCAGGCCTGGGAAAGGTGTGACACTGCGACTGCCACCCAGGGTGGCTGACAGTGGAGCTCCCACAGGAGACCACATCTGCCTGACAGGTGAAAACTGCACAGGCTGGGAGCTGTTGATGTGTGCCCCAGGTGGGATGGTCAGCCATGCTCACACAACGAGCTACTTCTTGGAGACTGTCACGGTTTCCCACCTTATTTCCACCCAAAAATCAGGTGGGGAAATGGATCTTGTTCTAACTTCAAATTGTAGGGGCTGAATATAATTCTTCTGCTAAGAACAGTTGCAACCAGTGGTGACTGTGGCTATAAATCAAGGCTGTGCATTTCTTTTAATGCACCAGTTGAACTGGGGTGAAAACTTTGCTTTTCTCCCCTTCCACCCACCCTTCACCAGGCTGACCCCGCCATGATCCAGTTCAAATGCGTGCAGACACTGTGAATGGAGCTGTCAGCTAGCAAAGCTGTAATTTCTCTGAGGAAAGAGTAATTTATCTGGGGAAATGACTGGCACCCCAACAGCTTCAGGACAAAGTTCATTCACAGATGTGGATAGATTACAAAGGCAGGTTACTCCTTTCCTACCTCAGCAGGCTGTATTGCACAGAACAGAAGAAACATACTAAAATAAGGGAATGCTTTCTGGTAGGTGACACATCTACAGCTGGACAGAAGCACAGTCACCCACAATTGGCCATATGGGCCCATACAGTGTCACTCAGGAGTTTATTCTACATTTACAGCCATGTCTCCAAACAGAAGTGAGCAAAATTCCAGTCTGTGCCTCTGATTCACAAGTTCACATCTAACCTAATGGTTGACTGAGGCCACATCCTGCCAGCTTCCTCACAATACAGTTTTGCTGCTGTTCCAGAAGAGAAAGGAGACTAAGAGGCAATGAAATATCCTCTGGAGGCTTCCAGATTGCTTCCATTCATAATTCTGTCTCAGTACTGTCATTGAGATATAAATAATCTCCTTGTTTCCACTTCAGTTACTTTCAACCTCCCCAATGTGAGAACAGTCTTGTATCTCTCAGGTACCTCAGAAAGAAAGTTATTGCACCAGAAAGCAAAGATTATTTTAAAAATAGTTTCCACATCAGTTCAAATGATAATGCAGTCATGCAGGTGTTGTGCAACTGATATTATATTCAGAGTAGTTTACTTTTTGAACGTGAAATATAAACATTTCAAGCATACCTACTTACAATAAATATGCTTACAAAGCATGATTACTTCCTATGAGGAAAAACCCCCAAGAAAGACTCTTCTCTTTAAAAGGGCAAACAATACATTTCCTCTTCCCATACCACAGCAAAGGCTTACGCAGGCACATCACGTACACACACATACACGTTCACATGTGTAAGATCCACCACAATCTCAAAAGGAAAGTGCCATAAAAGGACCCTGCAGTAATAGGGTAGCACATCTTGATGTAAATGAGAGTATCTCAGAAAAGCTGCAGGCCTTGAAGTCTTGTTTTGCTGTGCTAACCACATGCAGACACACACACAACAAACTACTTTCATGTTAGCTCAGCTCTCCTTCCACAAAGCTTGGTGGTAAAGCTCTCCCTGACATCCATCAAAGAGAGGGACTGATGAGGTGAGAGCTGATGAAAGTTTTGAATAGCCAAGGAAACCGATGGTTCGAAGAACTTAATTCCTCCCATCTTAAACAAATGCCTGTTTGCCTGGGAACTCATCAGAGCAGCTGTTCTGAGAAAAAAAACCTCCTTTTTTCTCCTTGCCATACCCTGTCCTCAGGACAAAAGGATTCCTCTGGCATATAACTACCCACCTCAATTCCCAGTGTGGGCAACAAGAAGGGATATGCATTTTTGGAGCAGTCTTTGTCTCAGCCTAAAGCAAATATGTAATATAGGTCAGATGAGTTACACCCCCCCAGTCCCCCCCAAAATGCATCCTTCTCTCTGCTGATGGTAGAAGGAGGCTCCCACACTGGCCTTGGAATTGGACCATGCCTTACCCCATGGGCTCAGGGCAGGAAGGAAGCACTGCTCACAAGGCTTGTAGGAAAACTCCTGTTCAGCTCTAAATCCAGAGATTGAACCTGAGGACACAAAAAGGGTGCTCCATCCCTCTATCAGAGCACTGGACAGTTTCTTACTTCATCATACATGCTGCCACTATCTATCCATCTCTCCTGGGGAGAAAAAAGGGCTTCCTCTGTGACTCCTACATCCCTGATGCACCCAGGCATGGGATTAGTAATAAGGAAAGTGTGAATGGCAACCTAATCTCCTTTCCAATCCTTTTGGACATGCTTTCAGGGTTAGCTGGGACATGTCTTGTTAATTATTAAAAATTTTTCTTCCTCTGCTGCACAATCACTTCAATATTTTGGTGCATTCCATTTTAAAAATTATCTAGGTCCTTGCCCCCATTACACTGCTTGAGAAACTGATCCAGAACTTCCATCTTTGAATGGTTTTACTAATTTCAAGCCTGAACTCCCTAGTGACCAATTTCTAGCCAGCTGGGTTGGAGCCAGTAGTGTCACTTAACTCAAATGCTTCTTTTCCCTCTGTGATTTTCCCCTCTCTCCCTGTTCCCAAAAACATATTTTTAAGGAGACATCATTAATGTCTCCAGTTTCAGAAGCCAGCTTCTTTTCATGGTGCTTGCAAAGGAAGATATGACATTCTTCTCACAGTAACCATTTAATTAGTTTATCCTTCTGTATTGATAATCAAAGGCGACTTCAACGAAGGGGAGAGAGAATGCTGCATCTGACTCCATCATCAGAAGGCTAATTAATTACTTTATTATACTATACTATGTAGATTTCATCTAAACTTAATCTGCCCTGCACTCATTCTTGCTCACAATTGCTCACACTGCACTCATCTCCAATTCTCTCGTGACTGTCCCGTGACAGTCTGACACACACACACTTCTTGGCCCTGACAGAGGGAACAAAACATCCTCACTTTGGGTAAACAATCTCCATATTGCATTCTACTTTTGCACAACACAGGCACAGCAAGCAAGATAAGAATTGTGTTTTCCTTCTCTGCTTGTCTCACAGCTTCTCTCTGTTCAGAGGGCATGTGAATACCACACTTCTGGACCATGGGTAACCAAAGCTACAAAAATAATTCACTGGAGAATGGTAGTATAAATGTATCAATACTTCCCTGTCTCTATTCAGAAAAATCCCTCACCTGCTAATCAAGTTTATCATTGTTGCTCAGCAAGGAAAAGAAGACACAGTGGTTGTTATGGCATCCTCTCACCGATCCACAGACCCAAGACTGTTTCTTGAGCTTGCCCCTACACAATAGCAGCTGTTGTGAAAGGAGAGCAGGGCCCAAAGCAGTGTCAGTGCTGAGCACTAATTGCAGAGCAGGGACACAAAAGGGATTGCAAGGCTTGGCACAGGAGGCAATGCCCACATGAGCTGCTGGGAGTGGTACTGTGAGCTCCTCAGCTCTCTCTGCCAGCCCCACTGTCCTTTTGTTCCCCATTTCCCAACCTGGCTTTCCCTCTCAAAAGAGACATGGCCATAGCTGAACCAATCCTCTCCTCTCAGCTGCCCAGGTGGATGCCACGGAAGTGCCAGGGGCAGCAGCAAGTGCTCCAGCCATTATATCACCAGGCAGGAGCTCATGCTGCATTCTCTCACCCCTTCCCATGTGTTTCCTAGGAAAAAGGACAAAGTTAGCACATGTAGGGATAAATTAAATAAATGCACATATATAATAACCCCTCACTTCCCCTTGTTTCCTCTTTCTTTACAAGCCAGGGGGACTCAGCCCACAGCACCTTGTTTATTGAACACATTGAGAAGCCTTCTCTCTGCTGAGAGGAGCAAGGAGAGCACAGGGCTGGCCCAGCCTTTCCAGCATGCCTGCTCCTCCTGCGGTGATGCAGGCACTGCAGTGCCCAGAGCAGCACATCCCCTGCCCTCAGCCCCAGGCAGAAATGCTCCAGGATGCCCAAGAGGAGTGTATGGTTATAGGGTCCAAAAGCACTCACCCTCTTGGGACTTATATTTAGCCTGAGAACAAACAGTACTTTTGGCTTATGGCCTGGATTCTCATCAGAAGGAAGGAAAAAGTTGGTCTGAGAGGCGTTTTCAGCTGCTGTCCCTAAAACCATCTGATTTTACTCTTCTTCATGGAAAACATTTGTGGTTTTATGCTGAGGAGTTCGTTCATCAGTTCTCCACAATATAAAAAAACCCAGAGTTTTTTCTAAAAGGGGACAGAAGTGTGAAAAATGAAAATATTTAATTCCAGCTATAATTGCTGGAGTTTTGCAATGTCATTCATTTTCCTAAGTAATGCCCAAAATATTTTTTCTTGCTGTGCTGCCGCCAATACCCACTTGAGTTTTTATATGAGGAAAATTAAATAGATGTGAATTATTCAAATCTATAAAAAACCAAATCAACCACTATACAAGCTTAATGGACCACACTGGCAATCCTGTACAAAGTATCTACAACCTATGTCATTATCTTCTGTTAAAAGGTAATGAGGTGGGGGAAAAAACCACAATGAGATTGTTCATAGAACTGGGTATCTCACAGGAGGTTAGATGAGCCCTCAACCTTGGCATCAGCAGTGTTAATTAATGGGGTTATTATTCCATTGGGGAAAGACCCTTTGTCTGATCCTTGGCTAGATTCGTCCTACTCTGTGTACCTCAAAGGAATCCAATCTGATAGGCAATGCTAGTGATCCGAGCTCCCTCAACCTTTTCTGTTTTATAAGAAAAACAAATTATTTAAACTACTGTCCTCGTTCAATCCTGTTCTGTTTCACCCCACACCAGTCCTAACTCATTAATTAAAGCAGGGACTGCTGGACAAGGTGGCCTTTGATATACATCCCAACAACCAGGACAATCACCTTCCAGAGGGAAAAGGCCAGAAAGGTTTGCAATCAGATCAGATGGTGCTATAAAATAACTTGTAACTCTTGATAGAAGATAAAATTTACACATTTCATACCCATCACAGTGAGACCGCAGTTGGTGAGAGCACTCTGAACCCTGGTGATGCTTTGGTAGCTGGAACATGGGGGTAGGCAGGATTTCCAGAGGCATTCACATCAGGGAAAAGCCTGTTAACATTGAATTAAAGCATGTGAGTTGTCTCCCTCAGCAACATGCTCAAAAGGATGAATAAACCTGGGATACAAGAAAAGGTTTGGGGTTTTTTTATCAAAAATTTAAACTTTCTTTCTCCTAACAAAAGAAATGAGATTAGCCCTGTGGATGTTTTCTGGAAACAAGGAAATGAAGAGGCAAAGTTTCATTTCTTTGCTGAAAGCATTTTACTGAGCTATTTCCCTTTATCCAGCAGCAAAATCCATGTGGTGCTGCAGAGCCTGTGGTGTAGGTAACTGCTGAAGGAGTAGTGTTGCTTTACTGGTATGGTTAAACTGCAGCTGGTGTGGTGCTAAAGGCTCTGTTGCAGGACACCCATGCTGGGTGACCAAGCCACATGAAATACACCTGGTTCCTTTGCTAAATTAAAATGACAGGCTCCCAAACCACTGGCATTCTTGAGAAAATAATTTAAAAGTTTTAATGGAGTTCAGCTCACATTTCTGTTCAGTTGTTTAAAGCAATGCACTAGACACTTTTGAAATTAATTATTGACCAGACTGAAAGGGACTCTTTTGCAAATATTTTGCTGCCTGTAGTTCATTTGTGGGGCAGTCCTGATTTCCAAGAATGTGTCAGTCATTCAGTTTGTTCTGCCACAGGGATGTTGAAACAGCTTGGAGCCCTACAGTTGTTTGAAAACACTTTTGTTCAACTGTTTACAAATCGTTAAAGTTGTTTTGTAATGCCAGCATTACTTCTGCCTCTCTGACTGAGGCATTCTGAAAGGAAAAGTATGAATAATGATCAATAAACAACAGCACAATGACCTTGGAAATAAATGCTTGAAACCACATACAGATCCAGGCATTTGTCTGAATGAAGGACAGCTTGCTGAACACACAGGCAAGCAAAACCAAAGCTGCCCAGAGCAACCACCTCTCCCTCTTAGCCTGGCCTCTTCTGCATGCCTGCCTCTTCCCAGCAGCACATGGGGACACCATGGCTGACTCCCTGGTGACTTTTCACTGCCATCTTTTCCATCCAAAATCTGGTACTTTGCTATCAAAACACTTTCACACAAAGTGACATGGTCAAACAAGCATACTGAGGGCTGGGCAGCAAGGAAACTTCCAAGGTCTGCCTGCCTAAGAGCTTCTGGGCACTTTGTGGAGTGGCGGAGTAAGGTTTGGGTTTGCCCAAGGCCGGTTTCTGTGTCTAGTTGGTCACCAGAAGTTTCATCCCTCTCCATTACACTTGGGTAGCCATGGTGTAGGATGCTGGCACTTTCTGCAGCACAGAGGGGAGCCCAACCATGAGGTTTGCTCATCTCCCCTCTCTGGAGCCCAGGTGGTGCCCATGTCCAGTCTTTTCTTTAACACCTCCAAGAATGGCAACTCCACCACCTCCTAGGCAGCACATTCCAGAGTGTGACAACCCTGTCCATGAAGAAATTCTTCCTGATGTCCAACCCAAACTTCTCCTGGTGAAGCTTGAGGCTATGGCAGGTTGTCCTCTCATCCTGCCACTAGCTGCCTGGAAGAAATTGACCCCACCTGGCCATAACCTTCTTTCAGGTGATTATGAAGACTGGTAAGGTCTCCCCCAAGCTTTCTTTTCTCCAGGCTAAACACCCCCAGCTCCCTCAGCCACTCCTCACAGGACTTACTCTCCAAATCCTTGACCTCTGTGGCACAGGAGTCACCTTGGCTGGCACCTGCTGTGTCCCACCCCAGCACAGCAAACCACTGAACACAGAGCTGCAGGAAGGGATGGAAGTGGGCATGTAGTGCTTACAGAGACTCAGCGCAGCAAACGCTGAGCAGTGCCTAGCACTTATTGACCAGCCACTCATTGGCTCTTCAGGCCAATCAGACACAGAGCCAGATCAGAGAACATGAGGGCAAGGTGAGCACTCCTGTCAAGAGTCAGCCCTGCACAGAGGAAAATTTGGCAAACATTTTGGAGATGGTTCAGTGACTGCGACACACACCACAGCACTGCATTGAGCCATCTGCAAAAATAACCCTAATTATGGTTAAGGCCTCCTGGGACATGCTTAGAGTAGCAGATGGTGCCATTTCCCAAAAATTGTTATAGACTTGAGTGACTTTGGCAGAGGAACATGTCTGCTATGGAGTTGCAATGGGTTATAAAGAAGAGCAGGAAAATATTTGTTTTGCAGGACATTTTTGGTGCTAGGGGTTAGAGGGCTACAGTCCAGTGATAGCTGAGCTTCAGCCTCCACCTCTGGGAGCAGAGGCACCTTAACAGGGGGAGCCAAAATTATAACCAGGACAGTGGAAGGAACTGAACATGCTCATGAGCATGTCAAATCTATGGGCTATCCTCCTACCCTGCAGGGAACTAACAAGTTTTCCGGTCACTTTTCTCTGAAGAATATTAATTCTGAACATATCATTGCTACTATCAGGACACTTAGGGGTACATAATCAGGGGACAAATATGGCTGAGTGTCACAGCCCAGCTCAGACTAAAACCATCCCACATAAGGCCCAGAAGCTGCAGCACAAAGGTCTGTCCAAAGCAAGAACCACATTATCCCTCTCCTCCTCATCGACTCTCTAGAAAAATAATGGCTGGAAACTTGAGCCAAAGGTGTTTGGAGAAGTCAGGCAAAAGAAATTGCATCCAGTGTTGAGCCTTAAAAAAAACAGAAGCAAACTTTTTGATAAATCAATATATGCGGTAAATGCCCATCATTGTATGCTTTTTCACACCTGTGCTAAAATTTTCATTGCAATAAAAAATCATATTCCCTGTTAACACAGGCCAGCCCTCAGCTTCTTCCACATAAAGCTGAGGAAGCTCCATTCCATTGCAGTCAGCCAGTTAATGAAAACAAAAGTAATTAAGAGCAGGGGGGAGAAACAAGATCCAGCAGGTGTCTCAAGTCAGCAGTTTTTGTCAACTCAGTGAAGCTGAGTGAATTATGTCTTCCATTTTGACTGACAAATGCTTTCCATGCTCTGAAATTTCTCATTTTCCATTTTCAGAGGCTATAGATTTCCATCTCCTCCCCTAGCAACTGTTTTGGTGGTTTGTGATTTTTCCAGCCCCTTCTAATTTGCTCAGAAAACACAGATAGGCCAGCTAAAGCTATAATAAACTATTGCATGATGTGCAAAATCTTCACAAGAAATAAACATCTACTGTCTCTTCTTGCATCCGCAGTGAAACATTAAACACAAAGGAACCTGCCATGTGTGGGTGAGATCTGATTTCTGATCTAAACATCTCTTAAGCTTGCCGAGTGCTGTTTAATAGAACACCAGTTGACCTCTTCTAGGCATAAAATGTCACTCAGAGACACAGCATTGTTTTGAGATGGCTGAAACCTCCAAAGGATGAGGTCTTGCCTCTCAAAACAAAGCTACAGTGAACCAAGAGTACGAATTGTGTACTCTACTTTTAAAGACATGTGCATGGGCTTTGCTTTTCAGCACTTATCATTTCTATATTCCCAAAAAGAAGCACTAGAGCCATATTCATCAGCTCATTACACCTGAAACACCCCCGGGCAGCCGTCTCCTCTGGCCACTCTCCTCCTGGGAGTTGCCCATTTCATTTGTCAGCAGAACCCACCCTGTCCTGTCACCCTGATATCCTGCAGACTCCTCATTATACAAATTATCTGTCATTACCAAGCAGATACAAAGCTCCAGACAAATGTTAATAAAAGGCTACATAAAAAAAGCAAAACACTGCAGATGGACCAACAGCACGCTGTTGTCCATCTTTTTGCAACCATTCATGCCAATGCAAAATGATCAGATGGTGTTTTACACAATACTTTTAATGATTTTTAAAGGCTTTTTCTTGAAATCAGCCACACAGAAAATCACCCCTGTGATTCAGATGTAAGGGAAGTTAGGAAACATTACTAGTGGCTTTTATTAAAGAACTTTTAAACCCTTAGGGCTCCACCACCGGAAGGAAAGTGTGAGACTCACCCAAAACTGCCATGCACCACATTTTCCAATAGTACAACCCATAGCACATTCAAGCTGAAACTCCTGTAAGAAACTCATATTAAAGCAAAACAAAAAAGTCAAATTATCTGTTCTGCTAACCTGTTGAAATTGAACCCAACAGACAGGATGATCCTCAGCAGCATTCCTCTGCCAGAAATTGCCTTGGCATCTTCCAAGGTGTTGCCAGCCTGGCCAAAAGCAATGACTGCGATGTTACAAATGACAACCAGACACTCCTAAAATCCTCCAAGTTTCTCCTTCTTGCCATGTTTTGGTCGTGCTAAGCTGTTTTAGGGTTCAATGCTTCACCAAGCTTCCAGGATGCAATGTAATTTTGGTGAACAGGCTGATGTTTATAAAAGGAGGAGCAGTCAAGGCTAATGGCCCTCTTCTCTAGAGGAAGCTTTGAACAAAAAAAAAGCCCATGTTCATATAATAAATTCTCCATGTGCTCTCTCACAGACATGTAATTCATGATGCAAAACCTTTTCAGGATAGGAGCTGAACATAGAAATAGGATTGAAAGTCTGGTAAATATTCTTAAGGAAGCATTCTCTCATATCTGCCAGAGAGCCAAGCAAATGCAGCCCTTATTTTTTCTCTCCATCCACAAGGAGTCTGTAAACCTCTTAGAAAGAAGTTAAGCCAAAAACATTGCTCAGATTTGTTCAAAGTAAATTGAGGTATTACTGGAGAGACACTTCTCAGTAGTTTTGTCCCCATACCATGAGAGACTAAGTGCTCTTTTTAACACCTATCTATTATCAGGGGGAAAAAAAAAAAGGTAATTCAGTTTGCTAGGGACGTATGTAAACTTCGGTGCTAAAGTCACAGAGAAAGGGGTACTATATTAACTAACTTCTTGGCCTAGGGAAAAAGGCTCAGGGAGTGCTTTGGAGAGATTGAAAAACCCCCAAAATAAACCACTTCTAAGTAAGTAACTTAACTGGGAATACCTAGGTTCACTTTCCCCTGTCACCCTGGGAAAGTCACTTATTCCTTGTGTCTATTACCAGCTGTAGGGCCTCTGAAGCAGTAAGTCCCAGCAATGACCCAATGTGGAGAAAATGTGGTTGTGGAAGCCAGGTAACTCTCAGAAACAAAGCCTCTAGTGCAGGAGAAGTTGGTGGGAAAGGATTGAAAGAAAACAGAAAAACAAGCTGGTTACCAAGCATTAGCAAGCCCATAGTAAATTCCTAGAAGAGATAAGGTGACTGTGTTTTTTACCACAAGATAACTAATGAGGACAACTTGCTCCACTCCACCCATAACTAACCTCACCACCTTCTTCGCTTCACCGTACATGTGGCATTTGCAGTGAGTAACCATATGTAAACTGCAGATAGCACATCCCTAATAGGCTGCTGTGATCTGCATGCTCTTTAACTCAATTATATTAATCTTTTAATTAACATAAAAAGTCTTAACTGATGGTTTTGAGAGCTTCATTTCAAAAGGCTTCATTTTCCTAGGTGTGGATTGGCTCACTTCTCCCATAGACACAGACATACAAAATCAGGACCAGCCTTTGAAATGGCAGACCTTCACTCCCACACACACATTTTCTTAAAAAATGTGAAAACCCAGGGCCGAGCACGGTCTCATTCTCAGCCCCAGCCCCACAGTGGTTTTTCCATGTTCTTGAGTCAGTAAGGTCTCACTGGGAACCTGGTGTCAGAAGGTCGTGCACCACTGTTCCTGTATATGGAAGTGGTGCAGGCTATGGGGTTTCCCTGTAAGAGCTTGAGAATAGTTTTACCCATAAGGTTTTCAGGCTTTTTTTAAATTAAAAAAAAAAAAAAAGGAAGAAGTAGTAGTAAACACCCACTGCTACCAGTTGTTTCATTAATGAGGCCTACCATATCATCTTCTGGTGCGTGAAGCCTGAGGGACAAACCCAGAGCAGGGTTCCTGTGCAGGACCAAGCCCAGAAGCGAGGACAGCTCCTCAGGCTTAGCTTGTATTTCCCACAGTTCTGCCTCTGCTCCCACCTGTCCTGCAGGGAGCACTTGTCTGTGTCCTTTCTGGCAGGGAAACCAGTCTGGACTACCCAGACAATGAGGAGGAGAGGTTCACCACAGTATCACAAATTTTTTTTCAAATGCTAAAAATCCTTTTGAAAACCCTCTGTGTTTTGGCATGGGTGGGGAAGGAGTATTGTGCACTGCAGCATCCAAGACAGAATTTCCTGTCCCATAGCAGGTTTGACAAAAGGACAGAGAACTTAAGGGTGCCAAGAGCTTCCAGCTCTTCTCATCTATTTTGGAGCTTTCTTGGAGAGCCAGTCCCCAGACCTTGATGGGTGTACCAATCTGACAAGCTGAATTAAGATGGCAGAGAAAAGTTGCTGTGGTTCAGAGTTGCAGAAAAAACTCAGGGAAAGAATTCCATGGCACCATGCGCAATTTCTAAAATCCTTTGCAATACTAGGACCTTGTCATTTTGAGTCACAGGACTAACCATAACACAGGACATGTGATTTGGATCACAGATCCTGATGCTGTTTTTGATGTCCAACAAGACAGCTTGACAGCATAGGTGACCAGAGCCCTGTGCAAGCTCCATTTCTTCCACGACCTGCATCTCACACAGCTCCCTAGCACCATGCTCAGCCACTCAGGCTGGGAAGCAGCATGATCTTGTCCTGTCAGAAAGATCTGAACAGCTTTGGAAACTCTGTGTGTTAGACAGGGAAGGCACTGTGGTGATGCTGGAGGTTCTGCTCTTTGCTCAGAGCAGCAAGGCTTGGGTCAGCTGGGGGCAAACTGGCTGCTACCATGAGAACCAGGGCCCTGATGACCTGCTAAAGCTTGACTGGAGCACACACTGCTCCCTCTCCCATCAGCAGCCCTACCTATACCTGATTCAAGGAATATCTCCTTCTCTCTTCTCCTATTCCCATGCCCCCACCATGGGGCAATTCCCAGGGGCATTTGTCCCTTGGGAAGGTGGACAGCTTGAGCAGAGGAGAGGGATGGCACCAACCCATGAGAGCCTTGGTGCATCCATTTGCCATCAGCAGCACACATGCCACAGCTGGTGTGCCTTGCTCATGGAGAGGGGTTCAGCAGATGGGCAATGGGATCTGGCCATGCCCCTATGGCTGGCTGGCACAGCCATAATGTGCTGGGAAAAATAACAGAAGAGGTGCTGGAGGTGCTCAGCCAGAGCAGTACCAGGACTTCCCCACCGTGGTCGAGCTGGGCTGAGGTAGATGTCACCCTGCAATTTTCCTGGAAGTGACACTGTGGCAAGCCTACATCACTTCTGTGGCAGCACTGGCAGGGGAAAACATGGATTTTCTCATTGCTCAGGTCACAGTGAGGGAGAGAAGGTTCCCTGTTTACTGACTGCCAGTTGGAAGAGGACAAACCACCCGTGATTTACCAGGATCCTTATTTAATATACCCAATACACATAAACTGTAAACTCAGCCTTGCTACAGCTCCTAGCTGTGGAACAGTAGTTGCCACTTCTGCAATTAAGAGAAAAACAGAGCAGTTTATTAAGCAGAGTTGTGGGAACGTAGTTTCAGTTTTCAGTGGGTTCATCTTAATATTTTTTCCATTTTAGTTCATGTAAGTTCACGCCCTTTGGGTTTCACATAAAGCCGTAGGGTCTGAGAAGCTCAAAAAATCTCAAAATCAAAATGTCAAGTTGAAACAAAACCATAAAAGGTATTTGGATTTGCATGAAAACGGGCCCAGATTTGCTTCAGGAGTTCCTGAAGCCTGGTAAAGCTTTTGAAGAGCCTAATCTGAGTTTTGTGGTTTCAGTGCAGACAGAAAGCAGCGCAAGGGAGCAGATGGGCTCCTTTCAGGAAGCCAAGGCAGAGGAGAATGATTAAGAAGCCATGAGAACAAGAACCATGGAGCAAGAGGGAAGAGGGGGGGAATCTAAAAAAAAATCTCCAAAACCAGATTTTCAATTACTGAATGCCTCATATTAGGACCTAGGAGAACATGGGTCATGTAAAGGCACTACAGATAGTGGACAGATCCTGTTTCTGAGGATCAGGCCCAGAAGGGCAATACAGAGGTTTGGAGATAAGTCCAGCTATAAAAGTGCCACACACCCTTCTGCCTATGCACTGAACCTCCCTCTCCCCTCATAAGTAATCCTCTTCCCACAGTACTCCAGCCACACACGAGGTAGGAAAACAAAAAGAAAATCTACCAGCTTATGCTCTCTGGTTAACACCTATAAACCTGTCCCAACATCAAATATTTTAAATTCTGGCTTTGATCTATTTTTTAAATTAGTTATTTCAATTTCATATGCTCTAAATTTATTCTTATTGCATTCTTTTACTGACATAAAAATAAACATTTCAGAGTGACAAGTCAATTTAGTTGCTCACCTGAAAATATGCAGAATAAATTTAATTGAGAAATTAACTTTTCTTTCCACAATGAGTCTACATCTCATTCAATTATACTCTTTACCTTAAGATCTTTTACATTGACAGGATGCAGAGGAGGCACTCATTGGTGGCTTGAGATTTAGTCTCCTGAATGAGCAGCTGGGTGTCTTAAAAACAGAAATCTCACCATGACTGACATAACAAGGATATACAATGTTATGAACAATGTAAGCAAAACCTGCAACTCTTACAAGTATCTTTATTTGAGAGCATTTTTCCTTCTAACTACACAAAAATTGAACATCTAATCTGCAAATTAAACTTTCAGTCACCTCTTCCTGACTTTTCTGGGAAAAATAGAAGAATAGAAGAAATAGAAGAAATTAATAGAAGAATAGAAGAAATTTTCTTCTTTTAAAAAAGAAATTATAAATTTGGCTGAAACACTGAGTTTTGTTCCCTCCCATCAAAAAGATCCTTACTTTCATAGGTTCTCATGAGTTCATCTTGCCAAAGAAAATAAAATGACTTTTCAGAGCTTCAGCATTTGCTTGAATTCTCATGAACTTGGAGCGCTACTCCCATTTTACGTTATCCTCCCAGGAGCGTGCACTCAGGAGATTTGACACTGCCTGCTGACATTGTCATGCAGCACCACTACAGAGCAGCCAGCAGCATTTCCAGCCTCTGCCCATTTAATAGCCATGGTTTGCAGAGCAGGATAAATCATTACTTTGGTCTCATCTTGCTTTGGCATTTCACCCTCTCACTGGCTTGCTTTCAT